ATTTTCTTTGTTTTAATGGAAGAATTGGACGTCCTCCCCATTTATTTACTTGATTTTAAACATTTCTTTTCTAAACATTTCGAGTTGAAATATTCATTCGCATAAATCGGCCCAATACCGTTATGTATGTGCATTGTATGCCTAGTTTCCCGTTACTTACTTTTCATTGTAACACATTAAAAATAATATTTTTTTTTTTGCTAAAAGTTATTCGTACTATTGGATATGTATTACATACAAATTTGATATTTTTGTTTCTTGTTACGTATGTATGTATATATTTTTTCTTCATTACATTTCTTAGCAAAATTCCAATACTTCCACAAACTACTAAACTGCAATTATGCCAGTAAAGGCAAAAGCCACACGCTGTACGCAGCCAAGCAGCCAAGCAACTAAGAAAAATGTAACAAACGAGTTATGCTGCCAAAGCATTTATTGCGAGTATTTGCAAAGAGTACCAAATTTAGAGCAGAAAAATTACAGTGTAATGTAGTTAGTTTAATGCAGTGTACTTACTTGCAGATGTCTAAATAAAGATGCATACACTTGTGTATATATGTACATGTAGTGTATACATGTGTATGCCATAGGGTGGTCCAAAAGGAGTGAAGTTTTAATGCTTTCACCCCTTAGGATTGTTCTGTATCGAAAAAAATATATCCCTATTTGTTATTTTGAAATCAAAAATTATTTAGAGGTCACTCAAAGCGCTCAAAGTTTTCCATGTATTTTATTAATATGGGAAAAAACAATTTTCGTAGAATCTCTGGTTCTCTTGAGAAGCCTACCAATAACAATACCCAATTGCTTATTTAACTGTGTTAAGTGTTAAATAAATACTTGCGTAATATCATTGGAAGTCTGCTGCAGAGGAACAGAGTTTTCCGATCGAAAAATATTAATTTTTGAGAATTCTATATCAATTCTACGAAAAACATAGAAAACTTTGAGCGCTAATAATTTTTTAATTTCAAAATAAAAAGGAAGGGTCTATATTTTTCGGTACAAAAGATTCCTAGGAGGTGAGAGCATAAAAATTCTGACTTTACTTTTCACCTGCATTTTCGAACCACCCTAGTATGCATGCATGAATGTTTGGTTGTAAGTGAGTTGGGGCGTGTCGGTCAGTTAATAAAAATGTTAAAACTGTTGGTGAATCAATTGAAAGTGACACGACTACTGCAATTGTTGTCAGCGCCATAAGCGATTTAAAACAAAATAAACAAAAGACTTAAGCAACAAAGTAGCGCAGAGAAAATTAAGTGCCCGTCGCTTGATATAAATAATTATAGCAAAGTTAATTTAATTTAATGGTGATTTAAATAGAACTGCGGCTAATAAACAGTAAATAATCATAGCAAGAAATAGTGAAATGTTTTAATTTTATTTAGGGTTTTTTTTTTACGACATACATATGTTCTTGTCAGTGCAATGAAAGAACAGAATATTTTCCTACAAAATTTTATGATATTTGTTCGGATGGATGTTTTAGAAAATCTTCCTCTCGACTTGAAATCATAATTCTTGTCTTCAAAGGCCTATAGGGATTGAACAACCCTCCTAGGTCCCACTAATCCTGTTTTGCATAAGGCTTTGACCAACCGCACAATATTTAGAACTGAGGACCATGACAAAATCAGCAAATTGGTAATAGTTAAGATAGTTGACAAGTTGAGTATTGACATTTTAAAACCACAACTCGTAATTTGATCTAATAAAAAAGTGAGGAAAAAAAAGGAGAGAAATTATGGAGCTCGGATTTTGTTCAGATCAAGGAAGTGCATTTAAGGAACTGTAAATAGAACGTCTCACAATTCTATTAACCCTGCAAAGCATCCAAAATAAATCTTCTTTCTACCCTGTCAGAAAAATCAATCAACAACAAATGAAGATAATTCTGTTTCGCAATTTTAAGCTGCCTTGTTATTCATTTAAAGATTTAAAGTATTTGAACTTTAACGAAGCGGATTCCTAAAACAGAAGTGTAAAATTTAAGACTCGCTAAACGACTACTTTCGGGAGAGTTTAGCAACACTGCATTGCCCTTTCCTCCTTTACATTCGCTATTGGCAGTAGCCAGAGAACTCTTCTGTGTTCTGCAATTTTTGTGAGTATCAGTAAAACTAATCAAGGCCATAATTGACACATCGAAATTGCAACTGTTATTCTTGCCACCAATGCCTGTACATATATTACACTGCTACATACATACATACATACATACATACATGTATGCTCGAGCACGATTCGCATCACGCGCACTAGCAGGTGGAAGTAGTTGGGAAATTTTATTGTTGGATTTTCACCATAAATATTGTTTCCGTTGCGTTTTTTTTTATTGTAAGAGTTGCAATGCGCGTTTTTATTGATGGAAGAGATATCAAGAAAAAAACTAGCAATACCTGACCAAAGCGCGGAAAACCAGCAAACAAATATATACATATACATATGCATACACATGCGCATACGGTCATAAAAATATAGACAAGTCTAGCAACAACAACCGCACCAACAACAAATCAACAAGATGCCGCAAGATTTCATTGTTGATTGCTGCTTTCGTGCTTTGATGATTTAATCAGTGCACGATTGACGAGTAGAAAATGAAATTGAAAGATTGTATCGGTAGCTATTACAAATGATCCATTTTACAACTTAAGTATGAATATATGAATGTATGTGCATTAGGGTTGTCCTTAAAAAATAAAAATATCCACCACAATTTTAAACAGATCTTTAGGGTTCCGAGTTTAAAAAAATTTTATTTTTTCAAAATCGCATAAATTCGACAAAGTTTTGACTTTGACTAGCTGCAACTCAGTGAGTTTATGAATTTATATGAATAAGCTTCAATAATGCATCTACCTAATTTATTAGATTTCAAGTAAAATTTTGTAAATTTTCGCGATTAAAAAAATTCAAACCCTGCTAGAGACCTTTAATTTTTTTTGTTTTAATTTTGAAATTTTCTTTTGTACGAAGAAGAAAATAAAGTAGTGGCCCATAGATAATTTAGATGTTGATATTTTAAGAACCACCCCAATGCGCATGCTGTACATATTTATTCACCTGCCAGCACATCAATTTATCAATCATTGGAGCTACAATCATAAGTATATGCGCCAAAGTGTTGCGCAAGTGTACTTAAAGCTGTTTTCAATTGATTTGCTCATTTACCATAACACTGCTGTATTGTGATCTGAACAATTTAATTTAGAATTTCTGAGACGGCAGTGAAAGCAATGGGCAGTAAGAGGAACGAAATCTAGACATGAACAATCTATGCAATACGTCATATGGATGGGAAGTCGTATGCTAAATTTCCACTAGGCAACGTTCTTCAAACCCCTAAAAAATATTCCAAGTATAAATAGTAATAATAATACTTAGATTGGCGCTTACACATAAGTATATTAGTGTTTGGCCGAGCTTCTCCTATGATGCGAGGCGTGCGCAATGATATTGTCACACAAACGGGAGGTACCTAAAGTTTTAAGCCGACTCCAAACGGCGATTGTATTTTCATGAGAAGCTGTTTTTCATGGCAGAAATACACTCGGAGGCTTGTAGTCAGAGTGCTGTTTTCCCCATGAAAAAAATCATGATTATCGTTTAAGAGAGGATTCTGATGGCTTTACGACAACTTTTTTATTACTTTTAATTGATATCAGAATCTAAAAATTGTTTGTGCTTGTATTACCAATTTTTAAAAATTTTTGGTTTGCAAAACGCATCGAAGAAATCTTTAAAAACCCCTGAATACCCAAACGATTCTGAATTAATCCCAAACAAAATCCAAAAAAAGTTGTGTGTAGTCTCGGAACCAAAATAACAACAAAATCAACAAAGTCTTCAAATCAGATTAGACTACATAAGTATGTATATTGCTTCCTATACATTCCCTGTAAAGTGAATTTAGCATTCTGCACAGACTGTAAACTTTGCCAATTTTGCCAATGTTTCGCAAGTGTTGTCATTTAAGTTGTCGAAGGAAACAACCCACCCGGTCGTTTCTTGCTGAGAGGAAACCAAATGCATTTGCGCAGCTGTTTAGTATGCATACTTACAAAGAATTACTACATAAAAGTACGTTTAGCAGAACATATGTAGAAAAACATCAAACCAATAATACATTAGGGGTATTCACGATCCGTCTGTGCGTACTGTCTAGAATGGTGCATAGATAGCATGAACAGCATGATTGGCTAATTTTGCTGTTGCTTGAACACATGAAATAACAACTATCATGCTATTTGTGCTATGTATGCACCATGCTAGACAGTATGCACCGGATCGTGAATACCCCTATTGAAAAAGTTTGCGTGCAATGTGATAGCGCTTACATATATTGCAAATTTATCATTCCCCTTCTTCATCCGCATTTTTGCCGTATTTTACCACCCAAGCATTTATATGTAGTTAAACATTTTTTTGTTATTGTATTTAGAAAATCTTACCGCACTCGAAAGTAGCGACTATAAATAAATGAAGGAATTAAAGTAAAAAATTGTATTACAGCCATTGAGTCCAAGCAGCCAATTAAATTTAGCTCCGCTTTTTTGCGCTCCTCTGCTCGCCTTATACTATGTGCGCCTGCCTCTAACTTTTAGTTACATACTTAATTTAAGCCAGCTCGCCGTTGCTTTTCCGATTGCGCAAGTGGGTCGTTTGTGCCCAACGTTAATGCATTCAATTATGCAATAATAGCGGCAAGTCGTTTTAATTGTCGGTGAAAATATTTATTTGCATAATTAAATACCTTCATTAGTAGCCGACTTTCTTTATTTTACTAGATATATTTGCTTTAATTGAATTAATGCTGCATGCCAATCAACCTGTATTTATTATCTACTTTGAAATTATTTACCACTTACCCACTAAACATCCGTGTTTCTTTTCCTTTGTTTTTTTTTCGTTTTTTACNGTATTTATTATCTACTTTGAAATTATTTACCACTTACCCACTAAACATCCTTGTTTCTTTTCCTTTGTTTTTTTTTTCGTTTTTTAAAGTGTAACTGATCGATCGCTGTTTTCTCTCGAAGATGTCTAATTATAAATTATGGCTAGCGCTTGTCATAGCGCTGGTCACAATTGTGGGCAACATTGCTGCAGCGCCGGAAATTGCCTCAGCTGATTTACCTATGGAAGCGCGAAATGGCGGCGGTGACTCAGCTGAAGATGACGCTCTCATTGCCACCAGCTACGTATTACCCAATCAGATCTTCAACGATGGCAAGCCATATTATGCCAGCAAAGATCCTATTTCGGGTCAGTTGGACTTTAGCGCAAAGAAGCCGGCAGGCATTGAAACCGCTGTGAATGAGGTGATTGACCCCAAGGAGAAGATTGTGCTTAGCAGCAATGCGCCGAACATACATGATTACCTTAATTTACCGGTGAAGTATTCATCCTCAAAATTCGTGTATCCACTGGTTTCGAGCTCCTACGCAAATCTGAAGTATCAGGGTAGCAATAAGAATTATATAACAAACAAGAAACCGACATCAGTGTTGGCCACTCCAGTGACACCTGCACCAAGCCAAAATTATTATACAATACCGACGACCAAGCTGATGGCGGTGCCACCTACTGCGCCAGGTTTGCATAGCAGCAGTGCTTCCACTTCAACTGCCACCACCACCACCACAACTACTACAACCACTACCACCACTACTTCAAAGAAGCCCACCACCAGCGCTACGACTTCGACCAAGCCTAGCATCACTTCCACATTACCCCCAGCTCCAACCACGACCGCTACAACCACAACTACTTTTGCACCTAGTTCGCCCAAGTATACCACCTCNCCACCACTACTTCAAAGAAGCCCACCACCAGCGCTACGACTTCGACCAAGAGTAGCATCACTTCCACATTACCCCCAGCTCCAACCACGACCGCTACAACCACAACTACTTTTGCACCTAGTTCGCCCAAGTATACCACCTTTACGCGCAAGCCTTTGCCCACACTGCCTTCGACTAGCACTCCGCTAGTGACTGACAGCAGCACACGCAAAAAATTTATACCAACCAAGAAATATACCACTTCAACGTCGACGACCAGCGCCACGACAGCTACACATATGCGATTCCCTGATCAGCCAGCTGTAAACACCACCACGCCACCAAAACCAGTGAGCGGCAGCACTACCGGGTACACTACGCGTCCACCCTTGGGCGCTGGTAGCACAATTGCTTCTCCGCCTAACACTAACTTTGTACCGAGCACAAAACAACCCATACTCTTCACCGAGAATCCCAACGGACAGTTAACTTCGGCATTGCCAACACCAGTAAACACTCGCGTACCTGACCTCAACATCGCCGATGTCTATCAGACACTTGGCCAAAAGAATACTGACCAGAAAATTGAGCAGAAACCATCAATGTCGCTCGCTGATATATTTAATAGCCTCGCTGAGGAAGAATCTGCAGTGGCTTCACAAAATCAAGCTGGTCAGGGCTTCGATGCACAAGGCAACTATCAGCAACCGATTTCGCTCTCAAAGCCAGCACCATTCGCAATGCAACAACAGCGTCCGCCACAACTGTCCACACATCCAACGTATCCCACATACGGCACCACACCGCTTCCAGGCGGCAATACTGATCAGAAGGTAATATCTGGTAGTCAGGAGAACTACAGCGGCGAGTACGTATCTTATCAAGTACAACAACCGAATGTTATGCAATATCGTCCAATACTCGGTGCTATCAACAACGTCGTTATATCACCCGGTCAGCATTCCGCTTCGTTTGTGCTAGGAAGTCAGCAACAAGTAGGCACAGCTGCCTTTGGTTCGGTAGAGAAGGAACCGTTGTTCTCAAAGGAACCACCAGTGCAATACGGCACGGTAATCAACGAGGATATAAGCGCACTAAAACGACCTGGACAGGTGTCTCCCCAACAGAGCGGCACGTTCCCTCCAGCCCAGGGTGTCTCGAATTTCCATCAAAATGGAAATTTTGGCGGCAGTGGTGCCGGTCCTACGCCACCCTATGTACAACGTCCACTTGGCACAAATTCACCAGTCGCTGCCAATTACCCTGAGGAACCGCCAGCAGCACCATCTCCATACCAACAATTGCCGCTGATTGGCTCAAATATGCGTCAACGTAAACCAACTAAGCCACTCGCTTTACCACAGATAGCTCCTAGCAGCTACCAGCCAGCCGGGCCGACACATACACCTGTTGGTCAACCGCCAATATCGACCGAAAATAGCAAGGCACAAGACACCAAAGAATTGCTCGTTTCCACAAACATTCGCTTCCCATCGAATGAAGAGCAGTCCGCTGAAGAAAACTCTGTACCCGTAGTTGCTGTTCCACCTGCTGGGCCACAGGTCAATGGTCATGCACAGCCGCTGAGTCTACAACAACTTCAAAATACTAATAATGTTGTATTTCCCAAGGGTGGCGAAGAGGGTGTTGGTAATGCGGCCATAAATGCTGGAAGCAACGACATTCAGATCCAAAAACATGAGGTGCTTACTATGAACCAACACAAGCAGAAATTGGTTCGTCATACTTCTAGCGGTAGTCAACATTATATCAAATAATAATTTGCTTTTCTTTTCAGAGCTTTCCAGCATCTCAGCCGGAGCAGAATACGCCGTCACAACATATGGAGCCGCCACCACGCTTTCCCCCCACACTTTCCAACGCCATTCCCGAAAACAGCGAAATCCACAAACGTCCTCAGCCCCCAAATAGGCCTTTCGGTCCTTCTTCCTCATACGCTTACAACGAGTACACACGGAAGCCAATACCCGGTATATCACGCCCGAACCTAGAGCGACATCTACCCAACATATTGCCACAGTTCCGTCCCAATGCTAAGATTTCATCTGGTCATCCGCACGCACAGAACTTCAACCAAGAACCTGGAAATATTCGCATTTCGGGACAACCTCTGAAACGTCCAAACAACTCGCCGCAGTTCGCTCACCGCCGTCAACCACTGCTGCAGCAACAACAACATCGTTACCCGCTCAATCGTGCCGCTGATTTCGGTGCAGGTGCGCCACTGCCCACCGATGCCAATCGTCGCGTTTATCGTTTACCACCTTATGGCGGACAGGGCGTGCAATACTTAGACCGCATGTATCCAAGACGTCCACTACCTTCGTCCCAACGTGTTGTCGATAACTATGAAAGACATGCGGCTGCATCCAACTCTGAAGTTTATAAAACGATTATGGCGCCCGAACGTTTGGCCGCTTTTGAAGAAGAAGATTTGGTGATCAACGATCCGCCACAACCCGTTTCGCCTGGCCAAGAAGATAAAATAGTTGACAAAACGAAACTTGAGCCAGTCGTTACACTACAGATGCTGCAATCACAAAAGAAACCTCTATCCCTGCCCAGCGATGATACCGGTTCTGGTGAAATTCAAGTAACCGCTGCTTCAGAACAAACGGAGCCACAGATTGAGAGCGCTGCTGGTCAAAATGGACTCTACGTGGTATATCCGTCAAGGGGTGATAAATCGAGTCCTCAAGAGTTAGGCGACATCAAGGAGCAATTACCAGCCATTGCACATGTGGAACCACCTACGGGAAGTGATTATCAAAACACACCATTCTCGGTGGTGCGTGATCAGCCACAAGAGCCTATACTAAAGAACAAAAAGCCGCAATCGCTTCAACAACAAACAAAGTTGCAACAGGCGAAAGATAAGTTCCCGTATCCCATTGAAAAGCCAGACTTATCCTATTCGGAGCTTAACACTGCCGCGCATGTCCCTGTGATCGCACCACGTATCATTAGTGGCACGTACGGTGTTGGTTCACCGGATACACCAATCGCAATAGCTTACAGTCCAACAGAGCCTAGTCCATACCGACGTGTGGGCGTCAACAGTGCACAGCGCTTTTCGAATGTCAATCTCGCCTCATCCGTTATCAGCGAAATACGTACCGATACACAAACCGAGGAGGGACTCAGCAATGATTTTGATGTGCGCGGCCAGAATCTAGAAAAGAATTTCATGGCACCATTCTATCCGAGCGTAAGCCTCGGCACGGCTACCAATGCGCCATTGAACGGCTGGAATATATTGCCTTCGACCACAGAAAATTCTATCTATGAAAAACACAACATCAACCGCGCCGATGTTGGAGAGCCTGCGCCCGCCGAGTTGACCGAAACGACAACAGCGAAAAATTTTGAAATTGATAGTTTCCAACCCGAACTGCAAGGTGGATTCAAACCCATCTACCCACCAGGTTATAAACTCGAAGAAGAAGTGCATGAGTCTAAAGACATGTTTGCCAATGAAGACGATAAACCATTAGCGCTAGCCAGCTACATGCGTCCGGAAAACAATAAAGAAGCAGCAATCAGCACGACTTCAACTAGTTCAACAACGACCAGCACTACAGCCAAACCCAAGGTAGACAGCACTGTTAGACCGAAGCAAACAATTGCGGCTAACGGTTCAACAAATAGCACCGATGCCAGTAGTGCGCCACACTCCAGTAACTCAGCAAGCACGAATGCAACCAAGGCGCCTGCTGCAGTCGCTACCACACCTGCGAAAAAGAAGACGACATTCGAGACTAGCCTGGCCGCTTTACTCTTCGGTGATGATGAGGAATTCGAGAATGGCAGCGAAGCAAGAAAGCAGCAACCGATACAAGCGACCGTCGAAACCAAAGCGATTAGTGCAGGGCCGCGTGCGAATGCGGGTGCGCCACGCATGGGTCCACGCAGCCTTAAGATCAGATAGATCAACTGGATAGGCAGGGCGGCGTCAAAAGCTGAAGAAGTAACATCGAACAAAGGCACATACCCTTCGAATTATTATTTAAATTATTAGGCATTTAGTACATTTAAAATCCTTTTAGAAAGTGGAAATTGAGGAAGCAGGAAGTTACGAAATTAGAGCTTAGTTTAGTGTTTTCATTATTTATGTACTCCAACTGGAGTAATGTGGAAATCTAGTTAGTTTAGTTTATTGCGTCCTATAATAATGGGATTGAGTAATTCCATTAAGAATTTCAAATTCGCCTTAATAACACAATTTCTGCACAAATACAACACTAACAAACATACGCACCACATCCTAGCAAGAAAAATAAGATTCGCTCAATTAGTGGGCCAGACAATAGCATTTATATCTAATGAATTTTGCGAGTCTAATTCGAAAAAAAAAAATATAGCGACAGGTAGGCGATATACCCAAAAAAAAAACTATGCCTAACTGAGGTGGCATTCATGAATGGGTTGTTTTCTTATTAGACTCCCGAATCGTCGAGTTACAATTATATCATATTTAAAAAAACACAGAAAAAAGTATATTAAAATTCAAAACTAAAAACTATAAATATCTTAAGCCTTGTTTTCACTGTGACATTGTTGACGGCATGATTCTCCGAAAAGTTTTGCCTTAACCCTATTCCCGTTATTCCCTGCTGGAGCTGTTAATGCTGTGGTTTTTAAGCAGACATTTAAGCAGTGCATATAACCGCGAGATAACGTAAGCGACATTTTTTCAAAATTTACTTTTTTAAGTATTTAGAAATCTTTCTGAGAACTCTTAAAGCATTGCTGCATTTATTCACTTAATTGTTGACTAAGGTCAACGAGTTTGTCGCAGTGAAAACAAATATTTAGATAAAAGTTGTCAATTAACAAAAGAAATAATGCTCAATGACATTTAAAATAAATATTAAGTAATTTTAAACGAAGTAGTGAAATGAGATATGTATTTATATGTAAGCACAACTAAATATTATTTAATTGTATTTAATAGAAGTGTATGTATTTCATATGTAATGTATTGTATTTATTTTTACGAACAAATAAAAATTTTTTAAACAACTCTTAATTAAGCTGCATTTATATAAGACAAATCCATAACAAATCGCCCTAAACTTATGTAGTTAAATAACTTTTCACCGCCGCTCCACCCGCATGATATTCTGTTTGACATTAAGAAATTTAAAGGTAACAAAATCTATTGAACCGTGTAATTACATAAATAAATAATTTCACCGAAAATAATATTTCGCCTTGAATAAAATTGAGCGGGCACATGGAAAATTTAACTTAATCGAAAAAAGGATAGGGAACAGTATTTCCGCGGTCTAAGACCGTAAAGTATCCGCAATGGATTGAAAAATGCATAGAAACGCATCCCCTCAAAACAACTATATAGAATAAAGAACCGGTTCTGTCGAGTCCAGTTCCAAGAGAACTGGGTATTTGGACCGGTTTCGGTTCTCAAAAAAGTAGTAATAGAAATAAGCCCTATCGAAATAGCTTAACAAAAGATTCTAAAAAGTTTTTACAAAAATTAAAATTTTTTTTATATATTTGTTAATTTAAATTTAAATGAAATATTCATACGAATTAATAACCTCCTCCTTTCTTTGAAGTCGGTTAAAAATTTTTTAAAATAAAATACATGGGGCTGGTTCCTCCAACTCAACTTAACTTAGTTTAGCCAATTTTTTAGACTTAGTCAAAAATATGCTGTGTAAAAAGTAGGCTAACTTTTGACTTAAGTAGGAGAAATCAGTTCATAAAACTAAATTTAAGTTAGCGTTTTCCACGTTAAGGTTTCATTTATAGGTCTATTCTGCGCTGTTAATAAAAATTTCGTAACCGGTAACTAAAGTTCCTGTCAATTTTTAAACCCTTTTCGCATTCTGTGTACTCTTGTAACCGGTAAATTTTGTTTCCATCTCATAAGCTGGTAGCACAGTAATGCCCCATGAAATATGCAATGCCCGAATTTCCAGAATTATTCGAAGAATCGCGGTGCCAAGAAGGAATAACTGCCAAATTTAATTAAAAAAAAAATGTAAAAAAACCAAGTTTTACTTGTTGATTTTTTACTTAAATTTTTTTGCCTAAGAAGCCCCCTAGTAAAATTTTCTGATTTTACATTTTAGGTGCCCACAATTCTGATTTCTTTCTTCTAAATTTCTGATAATTTATAAAGGTATCCAAAGATATATAAATTTATGAATTCTCAAAATTTATCGAGCCCTCGAATTTCACAATTGTCTAAATCAATCGAGTTATCGAGTTTTGTTGAGTTAACTGATTTTAGTGTTTTTAAAATTCATCGTAATATCGATATGTACCGAATAATTGAAATTTATCGATAAACTGGAATGTATCGGGTAAATTCCAAGTCCTGCCGAAGTCCTACAAACCATCGAAGAAAAAAAAAAATTTTAGTCACGTTTTAGCTTCAAAGCAGAAGATTTTCCGGTAAGTTAATTTGTACCTTATAACCTTAGAAAACCTCTAAAAGGCTCTTAACAACTAGAAAAACTGTCGAATTTCGACAGTAACTGGCACTCTAGTATTTTAATATATCGTCACCTGAAAGGCGTAACAAACATCGTCGTGAAAATACAAAAAGCCATAACTAATAAAAAATTCAAAATTAACCTTTTTGATTTANGATATACGCGTTAAATAATATAGTGAAGTATTTCAAAATTTCAATTTTGTGGAAAAATGCAATCAAAGTTTGATAAATTCTTACAGTTGGCATACAAAACGACAGAAGAAAACACACATACATATCTTCGCCATTTTTCTGAAGCTTAGTTATTTGTTTGACGGAACATATGTATTCTCCTAATTAAGATTATTAATTTTATGATGAAAAAGCGTAAATTTTGAATTACTTCTCTTACTTACTTCTATATTATTAAACGCGCGATATGTCCATAGTAAATACATACATATATAGTATGTATGTAAGTGTATATGCGGTGGTGGTTTTGTCATTTGATTGTTTAGTTGCATTAAACTTATTAGTCGATACCTTTTTATTCATCGATCGACAGCATGGTGAGTTACAATATACCATGCCAAGCGAAAATACGAAAAACTCGTGCGCCTAAAAACATGCAATGCAAATAAATACCCGCCATCACTTTCGACAAGCAAAATCCACGATTGACAGAGAATTTTCCATATGCTTGCTTATAGCCGCCCCCCCCCCCCAATGCATTGCAATCCCAAAGTTTAAATAAAAACTCTGTTAAATCAACATTGCACATTTTTTTATTACATTTTTTTAATACAAATTTTATTTTCGTATTTACCCTATCATACTACGTATGTAATATAAGTACATAAATTTAAAGTAAATAGATACCATTGCTTGCTTTTCATAAAACGTCTGCCTCATTTGTTTGGTCAATTTGAAAACAACTATGTATGTATCTAAATTGACACAGGAATTACATATGTATTTTCTTTCTTCATACTATAGAAAGTATGTATTTTAGTAAACAATTTCATTCATTTTATGTACAGATACATAACTCTATGATTTGTATGATAAGGTAAGCATTGTATTTATTTTCTTTATGAAGTGTCTCTGACTTGGCATCGATGAGATGAGGAGGATGTTGTTTCATGAGTGATTGGATGATTTGTTGACGATTGTATTGAAATAAATTCATTATAAGTGGAAGCATTCTAGTAACACTTCATTGTCATTTAAGCAGTGTTTATACTTTTAAATATGTATATATGTACATATGTACATATGTTTGTATTTATGTAGTATATATGTACTTTTCATTCCTGATGATCAAAGTATTTTATTTACAAAGAAGCTGGAATACCAGGATGAAATTGTTTTTTTTTTGCAAATTTAGTGATGTCTTAAAACAAATATTCAAGATTCTGTATGTGTCTGCAAATACATTTGTATTTAAATGTATGTATATATAGATTCAAGTGAAGTTTTAGCTATTACTATACATACATAAATATTTGCCACTAAACCTAAAAATGTCCATGGGTGTATTCTATTTTATATGTATGTTGCCCGGTTCCATGAAGTTTTTAGGTTTCTACCACGTCGTACTACTCCATGTGGGCATGTAGAAAACTTTATAACGATAAGAAATTTGCTCAACTGCGGCTCTAAAGTCGATTCTAGATGGACTCCACTGGAGGGAGCTGCAATTTCGATTATGCAACGACTACTTCTATGTATGTATGTACTTTACGCAGGTATTGCTGGGAAGATACCTACTTTGCAAATGTGCGGAGTTTCGGACTTCATAATGAAAGATATCGATATTGCGAAGACTTCCTGGCAGCGTTCCCAGATATAAACATTGTTACACAGACGGTTCAAGGATGAAAGACAGAACAGGCTCAGGAGCATATGGACCCGGTACCAAACTAGCAGTTCCCATGGGCAGATGCCCCATTATGTTCCAGGCTGATGTTTTAGTATTTAATCATAACCTGCGCCAAATTTATGCGCCAATTGAACCCTGAAAAGGGTTTGAAGGGCGCCTTTCTTGTTATATTTTCAGAAAGCCAAGGAGCCTTTCGTATCCTCTCTAACGGGACTGCTATAACACTCTTGAAATTCTGTCAGCAAAAAATAGAGTAACACTGTGTGATCGAACACACCGAGATCGAAGGTATGATCGAGATCGCTGTTGAGTTGTCGCGAGAAGAGTCCTTAATTGCCTTGGAACGCAAGCACTCTGTTATGTCAGCTGGTTCACTTCGAGAACCATAATTACCGAGTGCGTACACTTTGAACGCCGCAAATACTGGGAGACGGTGGTGGGCAAGACTTTTCGGCTACCCTTTTAATAGAACGGATATTGTTCAATTAAACAGAAATGGCATCAGGCTAATCTCTGGGTACCTAACGGGCCACAGCCAACTACGATTTCATATGCAACGAATATGTATTACCAGGTAATCAGAATGCCGAATAAGGAAATCCCGAACACACTCCCTGTGACTGTCCGGCCTTGGCTAGTCAAAGATTTATTATTTTAAACCACCAATGGTCAAACACTTAGTAATAAGGAATTCGACTACCACGGCTCTGGGTTAGGGGCTGTCACTTTTCAGGTCGCACTGTCTTTTGTTCTGGCTTAGCTATAAAAGCATATATCTATCTATACCGGCGTTGTTCGGTTTTCCAATCCTCTGCCCGAGAGAGAGAGACGTGCTGGACAAAGAACCATTTTGATCTATCAGCAAAGTTTGATGATTTTGTCAGTCTTGGAGAGCTCCGCAAGACAAGAAGAAAAAACGCGATCCAAAGCGTCTAGACTATAGTCCCTAAAAAGCTGGACAGCTTAAGGGAAGGATCATAATCTTCTAAGCAGCCACAACCGTGCGAGTCCGGTGTGTGTATAAACTCACCACACGAATACCCATAGGATATGCCCTTTCATGTGTCTCACAGAACTACCGAGTTATGGATTTGTTAGCCAAAGAAGATTCCTTGACTACCTGTGGCACTTTTCTGGCTAAAAAAGGCTATGGGTTATCGCCCAGTATTCTTTTGATTGTCGCGAGACCAATCTGTTCAAGAGTAGCCTGGTCCTGGTACTAATATGAGCCGCACTAGAAAATTATCAGACGCAGCTTAAAAAAAGGCCAGCCATGACCTTAAGAGCTTTTAATGTGCACCGTGATTGTCACTTGGCTATACGAGTGCTTGCTTTCTTAATGGCAGATACCGCCGCCTGGAAGACACTACGCTGATCTGGAAGTCTAACTTTAATGAAGACTGCTATGTAAAAGATTCCTTTTACGACCCTTCCGTCAAGCTTCGACGCACATGTGTAGCGGTTCACCGATGCCTCGTTCTAACTGCTGTCCGCTAACCACAAATGGCTTGAGGGGATGCTAC